TTCATATTGAGCGGATTATTGAACGCACAAGCAAAAGACCATATTGTAATGTCGAAACTAGACACCAAACAGCTGATAATAAAACATTAAACCTTACTTCTAAGTTCAGCTTCTTTCACCTCATCATATTCTTCGCGAATTTCTACTTCATCGGGGTTCCCTTGCTAAACGACAATGTTCAAGTAAGCGAGTAAAAGGTGTTCAGTCAACTTACATGATCAAAAAGTTTCCTCGCATAGTTTGAATAGTTTCTGAGCAAATTCTCATGCTCATGCAAATCGGCAATCCCCTTTTTTACCACTGAAGAGAATGTGCATAGTGGAGAGTAAATGAAGTAGTCAACAGCTATATGAGAGTGCATCAAGAAAATGGCTTTATTCACCTTTCCTACGCCTTTTCAAAATCTGCACGGCATCATAACATGTCGTGTCGACAAAGTAACCATCCCCTAATCCAACAAGAACTTCGTTGGTATGGACGATACTGGCAGGGAGGAAACCAACTGAACCAATGGGACACTGAATCAGCAGAAACTAGATAAGAGACTGATAAGAACATATGTGCAAGCGGCTGAACACATGAAAAGGCTGTGTATGACAGTGATGAAAGGAACTTACCATAATGGATTGTGTTCGTTTACGAGGAAGTTCCTCTAGCTTATGGATTATGCTATCGTACTCTAGTAACTCCTGCTGTTTTGCATCCAAAAGCTTTTTTAGACGTACGAACGTCTGAAACAAGTTTTAAGTAAACGGCTCTAGCGAGAGGGTTTAGTTTTGCTTAGTTTCTTAAAGTACCCGATATAAATTAATGTAAGAGCTAGCTAATGCTCCTAATCCAGTGCTATAAAATTGTTTAGGAAATACTGATTCTCGTATAAAAGGCGGCTTGAAATCCACGAATCTTAGTCGACATATTCAGACGTAACAAGCGGATGTTAGAAATGAAATTTATTTAGCAAAAAGAAAAGTAATTCCGATTAAGCGACTTTCTTTGCCCAAGCAGCACCTTTGTTTCAAAAACGCAACACAA